TTTTCTTTTCTTTTCTTTTCTTTTCTTTTCTTTTCTTTTCTTTTCTTTTCTTTTCTTTTCTTTTCTTTTCTTTTCTTTTCTTTTCTTTTCTTTCCAGTCGTGTTTGGTTGCCCACTCCCACACATTCTGTGCCTCCATTGCCCCAGCACATCTTGAGGCAGGACAGATTGTAGGTGGAAGGTTTTGCGTCTGGGTTGGTGTCCAGGCTTCTCTTCCCATAGCCTGCAGAGTACCTTCCTATACCAAAGAGACAAGAATGTAGGGGCAAAGGCAGCATTCAGGCACCAGCTCAACCTCTCTGTGTTCAATGAGCTGTGTGGATGCTGTCCTCAGCAACAAGGCTCCTCTGTCAATTTTCAGAGAGAAACCTTTTATTGTAGCATGAGCCTGGATTGTTTCAGGATCTCCACAGGAACCTCTCAGCCAAGAACTCAACCAAATGTAACCCCGTTCCACCACAGGAAGCCTTGCCTGGCACAAAAGATGGGCATTTCAGACTCTGTATCTTCCATTACTAGGATTCCTCACTAGGATCTCACTTACAGATTCCAGGAAGTTTCCACTGTACTAAGTTTCCACACACCTGCAATGTTCCCCAATTCCAGCTGTACCTCCCTCTCCCTTCCTGCTACTCCCCCCTCACACACACACCCAATCATTCCTCCACCTATCCCTTCCTGCTCCCAGTCTACCCATAAAACTTTCCCCTTCTCAGGGAGTTCTATGTATCCCTACTCCCAGAATAATTTTAATATTATTCAATTAACATCATTATTTAGAAATACCTATACTTGTGTGTATGAGTATCTAATTATTATTGCTAAATTTTATTCTGTTATGTGTTCATAATGAAGTTATTTTTTTCAAGTCTAGTGCTAGTTGAGAATAAGTTTTATTTTGAGTGTTTTTAAATTGATTTTCTATGAGTTATTGCAGATAAATCTTTGAGTGGACATGTGTTTGTTTCTCTAGGAGAAAAAATCCCTTGGAAATAGATGAGAAATAGGTCAAATGTTTTAGTGTGCTTTCCTGATGATTTGATAATCGTAACAAGACAAAAGCAACTTCAGTAAGGAAAGGTGGATTGTGCCTCAGGATTCAAGGACACAGTCTGTCATGTTGAAAAGACATGCTTACAAGAGCTGGAGGTAGTTGTGGGTTCACCAAGTGAACATAATCAGGAAGCAGAGAGTAGTGAATGCTTGCATTCAACTAGCTTCCCCCAAGACTGGTGAATAATGGTGCTGCCCACATTTAGGGTGAATCTTCCCACCCTGATTAATCCAGATAATCCCTCATGGACATGCCTGACCGTTTCCTCCAGGATCACAGACCTTGCCATGTTGATTGCCAATAGGA